TGTAAACTGCGCTCTCTTTGCATTCCCAGTCTCTCGTCAATTTCTCGGTATCAAACGGTAATGTCAGCAAAAACAAACTTCAATCAGATGACAAATCGCTCTGAGGCATTTCATCTTCATTATAGAAACGATTCATAAGATGTTTAAATAATTGTTCCCAAGTGATGACTCTGGGGTTTACATTATCTTATGTTTATTTATTTAGATTCTGCGTTGATAAATTGTCACTCTAATTTACTGACTTTAATAATGGAAATAGAACTGCTTTAATGAAGCGTAAAGTTTTCGTAAACTGTCTTTGGTCGAGCTGTTCAACATTTGCCTACTAATATATATTTATACTGCGAAGCAAGGGTTCCCGAATCAGATAAAGTAATTAGATTTTTTTAATAATAAGGTGATAAACAATTCAGTAATTCTCAGACTAGAATTGTGTGTTAAGATCTCCAAGTTAAAATCCTTTTCGCTAGCATAAAGTCACAAATTCTCTAAAAATTAATTGTTTGTTTGCAATGAATGAAAACTTCTTGAGAGAATTCCCCTAAATTCCTTGTGTGTCAGAGAGACAGTTTAACAAACAAAGTCTCTATCTAAAACCTGTGCCTAATGTTTGCATGAAAATAACAAATTCATTAGTCTATTACAATCAATTAGAAGCGCCGGCGCCGTGAAATCGTTGTAAAGGAGGAAGTTTATCTATATTTTAGTTAATTATCTGACTAGGCAACATTTGAACTCAAGAGCTAGACAACAGTTGAAGGTTACGAATAGTGACTGGCCAAAGAAGATAACTTTCAATTGGGTAGTTGCCAGGGCAATAAACCTAATTAGTCCGTCAGTTAGATCATGAAAAAATATTAGACACCTTTTTTTTTATTTTCTTGTATAAAGCTACAATACTTAGATGAAATGGCGTTAAGTTTAGAGGTGCACACTGTGACGTCGTTACGTCACAGTGTGCAGCACCTCTAAATGTAACGTCACAGTGTGCTGTGTGTGTGTAAAATATAGCACGCTGTGACGTTACACGATGTTTCAAATGAATATATCAACGACATAACATAACATCACGCCTTTTATCCCCGAAGGGGTAGGCAGAGGTGCACATTGCGGCACTTAATGCCACTGTACAATGTAATACCCACTTTTCACTATTTATGTTATGAGTCCCATGTAATAGGGGGTGAGCCTATTGCCATATACCATATATCAACGAAAGTATTGAATTTTGTAATTCGGCGATACATGTCTTGGTACATTTTGTCCCTTAGCGTATCCTTAGCTTTATGGAACTGGCTATAATCATTATGACAACTAAACTAAGATACTCATAAAAATAATTATAACAAACACTTGTTTAATATAATTAATATACTTATTAGATTAACTTCAAAAGCTTTACCAAGTACTTACTTCAAAGCAGTCTCAGAAATTCAAACTTAAATAAAACTAAAGGATAAATTTTCTTTGTGTAAAATCTCAGTGTAATTAGTTTGAGGTTCCAAGAGCTTGTTACTTAACATATTTTACTAAGAGTGGGACAACACAATGGTGACACGCGACGTCGACGTCAAAATCATTTAATTACATCATTGTTAGCATCTAAGTCTCTATCTAGGTCATTGTTACGTATTCATTATCCGAAAAATAGGTCTCCCTGACACTTTAATCGCGGTTTCTAAAACATGTCGTTGTGAATGTCACTTGTTTTTAGATTTTGTGTGATGTTTTCTGCTAATACAATGATGGATTGAGTGATGAGCTATGATTGCAGATTATTCATCGATGATTTCATCGTCAGTCTTTTGTACATACATAACATCACGCTTTTTATCCCCAAAGAGGTAGACAGAGGTGCACATTACGGCACTTAGTGCCACTGTGCAATGTAACACCCACTTTTCACTATTTATGTTATAAGTCACATGTAAGCTGGCTGAGCCTATTGCCATAAACCGGACACATTTCCAGATACCATGCTACTACTGATTTTTTTTTAAAAGTAGTACTTTGCCCGAATCGAACCCGAGATTGCCCGGCAGTCGCAAGTGCGTCAAAAATGTGTACAGAAATAGTGTGCCTCAATAATCAGCAATTGAGTTTCTAGATTCTAGATCAGTTTCCAAGAGTTCTAAACAATGATAATCGTTGTTTTATGATTGATGCCCATATTAAGATGAACATTTTTATCGTTTCATTGCTATTTTTATGAAATAATTACGCTTTAATCGATATTGGTTATGGCTAAAACTATTAGAGATAAAATGGCATTAAAGTTCTGTTAATAACTCAAGTTTTTCAATAAAATACATTGTTGTTTATTATCTTTTTGCATTAAAAATAATGAGTCGTCAGGTTTACTTACCATTAACAACTGACAACTCAAATGGTTGAGTAGGTAATTTATGTTTTTCGATTTAATTACAACAATCAAGCATTTGAACGAATAAAAGCAATGTGCAAGAAATACAAGTTAATTAGTTCTATAAGTAACAATCTAACAATCAGATAATATTAATCTATACATTTAAAAAGCGAGGAAAACATTATGGTTTTCATACTTTTCATTAAACACCACTAAACCATATTTTTACTAAGACTTAGGTCCTTAGTGTGACGTAGCACACATCAACGTCAAAGCATTTATTTCAATTATGTAATACCAAATTAGGCACTTTTGAAACGTCAAAAATTGAATTGTCCATCCGTCTGCATGTCAGTGAAGCTAGGCGCTCGTTCCAAAGTATAGTTTCGAATGGAGAAGAACGAGCAAGAAACTCCATTGTAACTCTTTTAAAGAAAAGTATTTTTGCGGTCTCATTGATTTTATTTATGGCATAAGCCGGTAAACGAGCAGACGGATCACCTGGTGGTACGGTAAACAATCGGCTCCCCCATGGACACTTGGAACACCAGAGGCGTTACAAGTGCGTTACCGGCTTTTTGGGGATTAGGAGTTTGAAGATCGTTGGAGATTCAGAGATTGGGGAGATTCAGTAATTGATACATTATCTGATCCATCTAAACTAACCCCTTACTTGTACAGTTAGGCGTCACTAATTATAGGTTGGTGAAAACCACAATGTCGTTAAATGTCACCTATCTTAGCTTAGAGGTCCCATAAAGTTTAGGAGAAAAAACTCTGAAAAAACGTTCCTCACATTGCTTTAAACCTAATAGAAATGTCCAAATATACTTCATCAGATCGGATACTCAAGATTTCTTATATCGCAATAACACTTGTAACTACACAACCACAACTAACTACAAAAGTATGACATGATAATCAACCAATTAATTCACGAGTAACATGTCACATAGTTGACATGAGCAAAAAACAGAACACCTACTTTAACCGACCTCCACGAGGCCTCAGCTTGTCACACGACACATAATTCACTCGTTTCCGTTGACCATAGTCACTTGGCCTAGTGGCAAATGGGCTGGTAGTGGATACGATTCAAATTGATTAGATTCTTTAGAGATAATATAATTAACTTGAGATAAGATTGTATAATAGTAATAGTATTACACTTATTATATCTGATGTTGCTCTGTGACGGTGATTGCTTACCATCCGACCATCCGTAGGCAGACACATGCTGAATTTCAAGCACGAAGGCCTGTTTCAATGGGTCTATCGTATTTTTGGCCACCAGATGGCGCAAACGCAGGAAAAGATTTTTTGTCCAATCACAGTAGTTATTAAATATTGAATGTCCAATGGGGTGACACTAGCTAATTCCCGATTGGACGAAAAATGATAGGTGGACACTAGTGCCATCTGGTGAGTAAAAATACGATAGTTTCCATTGAGCAATTGTCGAAACGTTGCTTGCTCAAAATTGGCATGCTAATGTCGGCCATGCTTGGAATCGACAGTCGTTCGATTTTCAAAAATTTTTGAGCATGTTCAATAGAACGCGTTTAGCATGCTATTTTAAGAGCATGTGTCCCTTAATATATCTCATTTTTCTCCCCGCGGAAAACGCAAAAACGATAGAACGCCTCCTGCCTCCTCCTGCCTCACACAGCAAAACTGTGGAATGATCTGTCGTCGGCGGTATTTCCAAACCGATACGACCTTCAATGGTTCAAGAAAAGAGTGTACTCCTTTTTAAAAGGCCGGCTACGCACCTGTGACTCCTCTGGTGTTGCGGGTGTCCATGGGCGGCACTGATCGCTTACCATCGGTGATCCGTATGCTCGTTTGCCTCCTATACCATAAAAAAAGAACGACGAACAAATTAGAGACCGCATATGCTTGACAATCATTCTTACTTGTCTACATGAAGTACCTAGTCCTACACTGATTAGATATTAATAGCCACTTTAGCCCATATCAACTTTTTTCTATCAAAATAAGACTAAACTATGTCACGAACGTGATACAGTTTAGGCCATATAAGTCCTAATTATTATAATTTGAGGCCATTCACACATGGCGGTGATTAAAATGTCTACATGCTCTGTATTCGCACGTTATTGATCTCATCCGGCGTTGCTACTTTTGATATTTGCCGATACTGAGCACTTTTGAGGCTTGAACAGGTGTATTTATAGTTTGATTTACTTATATGGTAGTTATTTATTAGGTAGGCTTCATGGGAATGTTACACTTAGTTGACCAATTTAGGAGGTAATGCAAATATTACATTACATTTGAATAAATATGTTCAAACGATTTGTATAAAGGTTTAAGTGCATAAGTCGCAAACGATTTATATGGTTTCAAAACTTACTGAAACTCAGTGTTAACTACTATGTTCATTAATAAAAAATTGATCGAATCCCGACATTGATCGGGAAAGAGAAAAAAAAATATTTTCCAAATAAAATCGAACAGATCGTTATATTCTTCAGTCATCTCCTTAAATTTAAAACATATTGTTAGTTTTAAATTACTAGGTACTATATTGAATCTATCTTTAAATTAAGAATGGAATTGTAATTACAAAAACGTTAATCATTTTTTCTATTTGTCCACAGAATAAATCAAAATGTTCCACGGAGGTATATGGGCAAAGCTGCAAGGCTTCTATAAGTGGTATGTGCTGGGGCTGGTGTCGATCGGCTACATCCTAGGAGAGCTCGGACATTATCTTATTGGTAAGATTTTTTTTTTTTCTAAGCCAGTAAACGATCTGACGGATCACGTGATGGTAAGCAATCGGCGTCGCCCATGGACACCCGAAACACCAGAGGCTTTACAAATGCGTTACCGACTTTTTGGGGATTAGTGGGGATTTTGGGATTGGGGAGATTGAGAACGAAACACATCGCAAGCGTGGTGTCACGTCGGTTTTCTGTGAGGCCGTGGTATCTATCACTCCGGTCGAGCCGGCCCATTCGTGCAGAAGCATGGCTCTTGCGCACTTATTTATAGTTCTGGGCTTAATCGGAGTAATATGCCTTTTCATCCTCCAAAGCGTTCTAACTCCTTGGATGCTGTGAGTGACCACGAGAGGCACTGATTCCTTATCATCAGGTGCACCCGTTATTTTCAAGCTTGTTTATCTCCCGGTCCTATTTCCACATTCCACAATACGGTATGACCAATTTCGACGCAGAAATAATACCGAAAGAGTTTGTTTTAATTAAACACGAATTACAATGGAAATACAACGAACCATATCGCTAATAAATCGAAACATACAAAACAAAATCTAATTCACCGAAACAGAAAACGAAATGGTTAATGAATTTGCCGGTATTTGGAACAAATAAACAGAATCCAGTACATATCTACATAGCATCTCCATATTGAATGGGTAAAAACAACGTTCGTATAAATACATACATTCATATTATGTATATTCACATAGATACACACGTATGTGATGCTTGATAAACTTGCTTGATGACGAGCATGTGTGCCAACTAAGTCTGATTTCAAGACATGCTCGAAGCTAACCACAATATTCCATTTTAACCAGATCTAAATGTCAATAAGTAGGTAATATAATAATGTTTAAAATTGTATAATATAATTTATTGTGAGACGTTATAAAGTCTATACATTAAAATATTACATTATTGATAAGAAATTAAATTAAATAAATATATACAACTTAAAATATAAATAATTTAAAACTAAAATATTTACACCTTAAAAAAATTGTGTTAAGGTATCAAAAAAAAATCGTGAGACTAACTAAATGAACTAAATTAATCCAAATGAATATGCTAATAAAAAGCTAATGGTACGAGTCCGGGTATAGTTCGAAACTAGTAGAGCCTTTCTCGAAAATTTCATTTGAATAATCTGTATATTTTAATTATATCCATAATTCTTGGTCGACTTTACATTATAATGCGAGCAAGCGTTTGCTGTATAGATCTAGATTCGAGCATGCTTGGTGTACTCATGCTTGAACGAGACATGCTCGTTTGTGTGTACCTATTAGGACCGACCAACATACATATTTACATATTCTGTATATGGAAAACAAAGCGGGCCGAATGCGAGAGGTGCATGAATACATACATTATTTCCCGCGGGACGCCATTCCGATATCCGTTGATTCAGCTGAATTAACTTCTATATTTGAATATTGTTTTGTTAGTATTTTTCCAATTGAGTACGTGTCTACTACTAATGGTAAATTCATCTTCCAGTCCATTTAACGTTACTTATTTTATCTAGAGGCAGAAAATTAAGGATGTTATTATTTTTCCCGCTTTCCCAATATAAATGACTTGTCAGTGTCTTTTTTTGTGTTCGTTTTATCACGGACACCTTATAGACTATTTTATTAATCTTCGATTTCGTTCTCACTTGAACCCAAACACAAAAAGAAAAAATAGGCAATCCCTCTTAAAGAACTGATTACAAATTTCCGATAATTCCAATCATGATAAATCGCCATTAATATAGGTATGACGAAACCTTGGTCTTTACAGCTGTAAATCTTTGTTGACTCAAAAGACAATAGCATTACCCATCATTGATCACGTAGCACCCATGCAATGAACAGCTGATACTTGTCATAAACTCATAATACAAAATAATTGAAACAAAATTCCTAGTACCTACAAGAACACAATGCTCAATGGACGTGAGAATTACAGATTACTAGAAATTCATTCATAAAAAGACACAATTACACGATCAATGACATCTTGAATTAGTAATTTACTATTGAAATTGATATCTGCAATAGTTTTTAATGATAATTGGAGAAACAATTGTACATCAAATTAATTAATGAAAGAGGACAAATTAAGTTATGAATGGTTTTTTATCATTCAGTCATGTTTGCTTAAAACATCACGGCATTTTATTCCCTGAAGTTATCGACTGAACAGAATGCATACTCAATTTCAAATTCAAAAACAAAGCATTTATTTTAATTAAACCATAATTTGGTACTTTGAAACGTCAATAAATACAACATAAATAATAGGCTGTCAGTCAGTCCGTTGGTGAAGCTAGGTGAAGCCAGGTTTAAACATGGAACAGGGGAAAATTATGGTCTGCAATACCATATAGGCTAATTTTAATCCCACAGGAACGCGGGCGAAGCTGCTGGCAAAAGCTAATTTACTATAAACATACACAAATGTGTCTGTTATGTTCATCCTTACTTCGTTACTAATATTATAAATCTGAAAGTGAGTTTGTTTGTTTGTTCCACCTTCACGCCGTAACTACTCAACCGATTGCTTTGAATTTTTGCAGACGTAAAGTTAGAAGTCCGGATTGAATAATATGGTACTTTTTAACCCGGAAAAAAATGATATTCCCGAGGAAAAACAAAAGTATTGGTATAGATGGCGCTGTGTGTATTGGTATATGTCACATAAGCTACGTTTTATTCTTTTGTGACGCGAGCGAAGCCGCGGGTAAAAGCTAGTATGACATACATACAAACATGATCTTATCTCAGTGTCATTCACAACACAATAACTTGCCCATCTATTGTCCCCTTCAAACAAATGTCCTTTGGTTTCCTACTGGGGACCAAGTGTCCCTTTACGTATTCATTCTACGATATAAATACTTCTTCAATACAACCTGCATGGTTCTGATGTCCTAGTAACCTAGCCTTCAGACTGTCACTCACGAACTTTAATGTCAGTAGAGGTTAGGTACTACACTATTTATAGGACATGTAACTCGAATTAATTTTTGATTTAGAGGAGCCTTGGGTTCAATTGTATGGTGAAGATTTTTTCTTTAGTATTCTTTTGAATTTTATTGCATTTGTTATGTCTGCCTCTTCTCTCTCGGTCTCTTGGTCTGACTGCCTCATTGGCCGAGTGGCCGTAAGTGCGACTGCCGGGCAAGGCAGCCAAGTATATTAGTAGTATAGTAGCCAAGCGCCACAGCCGTTGTTTCAAGAGACGGTGTCTACCTCTTTTCCCACGTCCTTGTATGAAATGTGTAAAAATATGTGTCAGTATTAAGTTAACAGCAATTTAACCCGTCGAGCGCCCGCGTTCCTTATGATCCAACGGGTGCACACGTGACATTTGGAGCATTTTTTCTTATGATCCACCGGGTGCTCATAAGGACGCTCGAGGGGTTAATCAGAGATTGTAAAAAAGGCCCTAAAGAATCGAGAAGCTACGTTTCCAGTCACCGTCATCATTGAATAGAAATAAATTGTTTGTAAAATTTTATGTACACGTATGTACTTAATGCCAACTTAATATTTAACTACGATTTTACAACACTTCCCCTTAGAAACGTTTTATTAACCATTCAACATCAGATCGGAATGTTAAATTACAACATTATGCAATAAGTAGCAATCCTTAAGCAAAACATTGCTACGCTATAAATAACAAATTAATGATCGGCCGAAAACCGACAAAAACGTGCGTTTCGAATCAGTCAATTAATATTGTAAGTCAGAGTCAGTGCCGAGGCCGTTCAAAGTCATTATCATTGGCACAGCGTACGGCCCAGTTCACATGACGCCACCAATTGGGTAAGCAACAAGTTTATGAGAATTATGCAACTACACAACGGCAAGTATCAATGTGACTTTTTCCGAGTTATATGTACTTTCTAAGATCTGGACACCACTGATAAACGGTGAAGGAAAACATCGTGAGGAAACCTAGGCTTATATTTCTAATTATAAGTTTGTAATCGCCAACTCGCATAGAGCAAGCGTTGTGATTAATGCTCAAACCTTCTCCGTGTGAGAAGAGGCTTTGCTCAGCAATGAGCACTTATAGGCTGATACAGCTACAACTGCTTTAGTTAATATGTTAGTGCTAACAACTTCTAAACTGTGTTACTGCACGGTAGGTACGACTGGCTACTATGCGATATTAAAAAAAATATAGAATACGTCGCTGTCCCTATATTGGACCCATCGGTTGGGTCAGTATTTGCAACGACTCGACTCTCTTAATTCAAACTTGAATATTTTGTTCAGTAGGTTCTTAGATTTAATAATGTATTCGAACATCGAACGATTTGATTTCGAATTTCAAATCCTAGAACTTATTTTTAATCATCGAATTACCCTGTCCTTTAAAATCCTGGATCTAGCTCAACACTTGACAAACAAAGCAGTCTAATATACCTTTACTATAAAGAGTTGAATTTGGAATCTATCCGTCATGTCATTGAAATCTTAGATCTCTGGATTTGAAAGGAGCCATTTAAACCTCGTTGCTTATTTATGAGCGTTGTTAAGTAAATTGTAACGTGGGAAGGAAGAAATATACTACTGTGTATTTTAAACTGGAATATGTAAACTATATTTTACTCCTAACTTATGACAGTATGACTTCGAAACAATTTATGTTAACATAATTAAAACTGATGTTCTAGTAGTATTTTGAGTTTTTAGTTAAGATGCGGTAAAAGGATCTGGCATTATTTTCTATGCATATTCAGCTTTGTATGTTTAAAATTTTGACTAATGTAAGCAACTTTTATGTTAAAAATCTCCTTTGTAGTGCGATAAAAAAAATGGTGGTAACGTGGTGAATTCGCGTTCGCGCTAATATTCAAAATTCGAATCTCTCAGCCCACGGCTCCCTCGAGCGGGCTGCGCGCGCGGAGCCCGCTCAACGTTGAGCGAATGAGCGTGTTTGAACACGCTCCGCCATCCCGCCAATTTTCTCGATTTTTGAATGGTGGTGGAATCATCCAGCCCTAATCTGTTAATCTATATATATAAAAGAAAGTCGTGTTAGTTACACTATTTATAACTCAAGAATGGCTAAATCGATTTGGATGAAAATTGGTGGGGAGGTAGCTTAGAACCAGGAGACGGACATAGGATAGTTTTTACCTAAAATCAAGAACGAGAACGGGAAATATCGGGATTGCGCGTACGAAGTCGCGGGCAGAAGCTAGTAACTAATGTTTATGAAATTAATTTCCTTTATGAATACTTCCTTAGCTTCTAGCCAGCACCTTCGCTGGTGTTCCCATCGGGTAAAAACTAGGGTAGGAGTAGACTAAAGTCACTTCTGTTCCATATTTCAGCCCGATTCCTTCAGCGTGAAAGAGTAACAAACATACAAAACTTCGCACGTATAACATTAAATAGAATGTTAAATAAATAAATTAATCCTTGCTCCTCAGGTACTACATCGAAGGTGACGGCAGATGATCTCCACTACGGAGACAAGTCATGCATGCTGAACCTGACCCACGTGTCACTGAGCGACTTACCGGTCGTCTGCGAGAAAGTCAACTCTAGTGATATGTAAGTACAAAGTTCATTTTACCCAATCCCCAAATCTCCATATCCTTAGCCTACCAAAGACTGGCAACATAATTATGAAACCATGACACAAAAGAAAGATTACTACTATTATTTCTTGGTCCTTTCATAGGAAACGACCAATTTTCGACGCCAGCGCCCTCTACGCCCATTTAATTAACCTGTAGTTTATCCTGTTCTTGTTCATTATTTTTCCAAATTAATTGATATCTACAATAACCGTCGAAACACGAGGAAGAAGGGGAGAAAAACACAACACGGCCAAAAATATTTAGACATTAGAAAATACAATGACTGCCTCGTTGGCCGAGTGGTCACAAGTGCGTTTGCTGGGCAAGGGGTCTCGGGCTCGATGCCCGGGTCGGGCAAAGTATTACTGGGTTTTAAAAAAAATCTCAGTAGTAGCACGGAGTCTGGAATTGTGCCCGGTATATGGCAATAGGCTCACTCCCTATTACATGGGACTCACAACATTAAGTGGGTGTTACATTGTACAGTGGTATAATGTGCACCTCTGCCTACCTCTTCGGGGATAAAAGGTGTGATGTTATGTTATGAAAATACAATATTTTTTACAACAACATCTACAATGTTTATATTAAAACTGAGAAATACTAAATTGTTAAATTGTTAAAATACCAAAACTACTCGAGTTCCTTGTCAATCAGTTACGTGAGTAAGCCGAAATTATAATTGTAATTAATTTTACCAGTTTAGTTTTGCAGTTTAGTTTCAATTTTACGTTTTACCAGGGCGAATCTATTGCCATACACCGAACTTCAAAACAAACTATATGCTATAGGTATATAGACAAAAAAAAACTAAAAAATAACAGTCACACTTGTCCGACCCAGAAACCCTTGACAGTCACGCTTCCGAGAAGGCAGTCAAATAAATAAGTATTTGTCGTAAATACATATATAATAAAAAAATATGAATAAACGATTAAGGAAGTATGTAATAAACGCCTAATAAATAAAATCTTAATCTTATAAAATGATCATGAGTCACTAACTATGATATAGTTACGAAGGTCACTCATTAATGCTAAGAATTCTAATTATGCAACAGTTTGTCCAACAGCTGGACAGGATGCTAGTACGTACACCCACATGCATACAATCAGGATATACATAGTTCTCGGTATCGATATGTTAACATGAATACCTAGGCATAGTATATTTGTCGCGGAGAACCTAACGGGTTACCGGGGCTTCGGCTCGACGTGCAGGAGAAGAAATGAGGTGGTTTTTAGTCAGTAAGAGTCTGACATTCCCTGCCGCCTCACCCAGGCGGGAGCAGTCATCCGATGATTTTTCCCCCTTAAAAAAATGACAGTATATTTTTCTACCTCGAGTAAATAAAGTTATGACAGAAGATATAATCAAATTAACCTACGTTTAGACTAACGGAAACCATAACTTGATTCCCCCAAGTCCTTTCCATCATCGAGCAATCGGCGACAAGACAATTGGCGAAGCGTCTCCGATTCATGGTAGATGTCCCACCCACACGCACGAAGCGCTTCGCATCAAGCTTCCTTGTGCGTACTGCTAAGGAGTGGAATTCTTTGCCAGAGTCTGTGTTTCCTGAAGGGTATGACCTGGTTATCTTCAAGGCCCGAGTGAATAGGTTGCTTAAAGGACAACGTGTTCCATCGTAGGCCGCAGCATCATCGCTTACCACTACGCGAGGTCAACCATCATATATAAAAAAAATATAAGTGCCTCGTTGGCCGAGTGGTCGCAAGTGCGACTTCCAGGCAAGGGGTCTCGGGTTCGATTCCCGAGTCGGGAAAAGTGCTACTGGGTTTTTAAAAAAATATGTCAGTGGTATCACGGAGTCTGGAATTGTGTCCGGTATATGGCAATAGGCTCTCCCCCTATTACATGGGACTCATAACATAAATAGTGAAAGTGGGTAACATTGTACAGTGCCATTAAGTACCCCTGTGTCCCCTCTACCCATTTGAAAATAAATGGGTAGAGGGGACAGTGATGTTATGTTCTGTAAAAGTAAAGAAAAATGTATGCTTCTAAATAAAACATGGCCGTTACTTACTATTTATAAAAATCACACAGAGGCATTCATAGTACCTACATATCAAATTAAACCAAAGTAAAACCATTTAATCACTATCAGTTTAAACCCATCTATTTTACCAAACGACCTCAAACTCTGACCTACCTCAAGCTGAACTTTACCACGTTTCGTTTATCACGTGTTTTATCAAAAGCCATAAAATTTAAATTATGCAAATTAATTCTATGAATTATGACATTTGTTACTACCATGCGTGTGAATACCTACATAATCAAGTAAATATCTGGTGACACAAGGACAAATATGATATTATTTAACTCATAACGGAGTTTGTAATTAAATATTTTAATCAGCATCATAATCTCTTGCCTATATTCTTTTTTTATATTTATATACTAGCGACCCGTCCCAGCTTCGCACGGGTGCAATATGCATGTATCATACATATAAACTTCCTTAAGAATCACTCTATCTATTAAAAAAACTGCATTAAAATTCGTTGCGTAGTTTTAAAGATCAAAGTCAAAGTCAAACTTTTGAGATTTTTTTTAAAAACCCAGTAATACTTTGCCCGACCGGGGAATCGAACCAGAGACCCCTTGCCAGGCATTCGCACTTGCGGCCACTCGAGGCACATCGAGGCAGTCCAATGTCCCAATTTCAAAATAAAACCAAAATTTCAAATTAACGGTAGCACTTAAGACCAACAAACGACGCAGTATTTTAATCAACAAGAAGTAAATTATTAATGCCAATTTTAAACATCAGATGGGTCTGTCTGTCAGTCTAATGAAGATTGGTTGAATCCGTAGCGACCTTGGCACAATAATCTCCTATTCTGAACCAACCCGTGCATTAAGCGATTCTGGACAATTTCCCCGACACTCCCCTATTGTGCGGTTCCTTTAATAAATGAAAGATAACGAAGCAGAAATTACAGGGGATATTTTTATCCTTATAGATTTTTTTTGGTGAAGCTATGGGTAGATAGAATGAAATACCGTAATGGAAAATGTTGGCGTTGTTAAAATCCTACGTTGAAACTGTTCTTTTATGTAATTGGCTTAGCATGCGTACCCTATGTATAGAATCTAACGGGTAACCGGGGCTCCGGTTCGACGTGCAGAAGATGGAACCGGGTGGTTTTTAGTCAGTAAGAGTCTGACACTCCCTCCCGCCTCACGCAGGCGGGAGCAGTCAAACGATGATTTTCCCCCCTAATAAAAAAAGTGTATACATTAGGGTAAACATGTTTAAGTTATAACTTAATTAACCTCTTATCTGTTGGCATGTGAGACACAATAGAAAACACATTGTGTCTCGCGTATATCTTCGTCCCGGCATACAACGAGTTAAACCGCATCAGCCTATATCAGGCCAGGTTAGGTCCTCTAAATAGATCAGCTCCAGAAAAACAGATATCCTGACACTTTAAAAGGAAAATTTATTACCTACCATCTTGACATTTGAATCACGGGTGTAGTAACCATAACATCACGCCTTTTATCCCCGAAGGGGTATACGTTACAGCAGCACAACATTACCCACTTTTCTCTATTTATGTTATGAGTCCCATGTAATAAGGGGTGAGCCTATTGCCATATACCGGGCACATTATCAGACTCCGTGCTACTACTGAGGATTTTTTAAAAACCCAGTAATACTTTGCTCGACCCGGAAATGGAATCTGAGACCCCTTGTCCGGTAGTCGCACTTACAAGCACTCGGCCAACGAGACAGTGCAGTAACCACTGAGCAAGTATTTTGTGAAACTAAATGCATAACTACGATCACAATCCATAGTAAATTGCGTCATATTTTGTTACAATTACAAGCCATAATGGCTTACCTCATCGTATCATTCATACAAGCGGCTACATTAAATATTTCAGACAATTGGTCTCAATTACACAGAGCAATTAAGATTAGGATCGGACTTTTGATACGTGACAAGGCACTACTGTTTGTTATTTTTTTTTAATGGGACAAGCCCGCCATAACCTCGCAAAACCGCAATTCCTGTAAGCCAGGATCTACAGTAGATACAACCATGAAAACACCGGAACACTGAAGTCCGGCGCGTCCCAGGGACACGAATAACTGTCTTGGTTCCCGCAACGAAGTGAATCAGAAGATATTATAAGAGAAGAAGAAAAAACTAATTATATTTTTATTATTGACTATCTATATATATAAAAGAAAGTTGTGTTAGTTACACCACTTATAACTCAAGAATGGCAGAATAGATTTGGCTGAAAATTAGTAGGGAGGTAGCTTAGAGCCAGGAGACCGACATTAGGATACTTTTTAACCAATACTTTTTTTTTTACTTTTTACCGAAAATCACGAACGGGGACGGGAAAAATGGAATTACGCGTACGAAGTCGCGGGTAGAAGCTAGTTTGAGATATATTCAGTGGCAAAGTTTAGTAATGCGTGCCGATGTCGTTGTAATGAGATTTTGTTCCGTCCGTCCGTCCTATTCTGTTCTAATATTTAGGTGCAATAAGTCGATACCCACGGAAAGTCATGCATAAAAAGCGGACGATGCTTAATAAATGTATTTGACTTCGCCTACACCAGTTACCACTAGGCTTCACTACATAATATACCTAAGTTATTGTTTCTAAATATCCCAAACTTATTAAATTGTTGAAAGTTGCCAAATGACTTCAATTTGGTATAAACAAAATCTTATACTCTTATACTATTATATAAAGCGGAAGTTTGTTTTTTTGTTTGTTTGTTTGAACACGCTAATCTCCGTAACTACAAGTCTGATTTGAATAGTTCTTTTTGTGTTGGATAGCGCATTTATCGAGGATGGCTATAGGCTATAAAACATCACGCTACAACCAATAGGAGCTGAGCAGAGCGTGTGAAACCGCGCGGAAGTAGCTAGTTATACACAAGGCAGGAGCATGTAGTTACACACCATG